CCTGAATGCTGATCTCCCCTCCAAGCTCCAAACCATGAAATGTGAGACTGCAGACTCAGGATCAGGTCCACTGCTAGGAGGTCTTGTCCCTGATTGCTTGGGGGCCAGGTCCCAGGGGAGAAGGGTGGGATACCTGGGACATTGTATTCACTTCATGTTTTCAACCACAGCTCCGGACTATGACAGAAGCCAGTGGCTGAATGAAAAATTCAAGCTGGGCCTGGACTTTCCCAATGTAGGTGAGAGGTGGGGGGAGGTTGGAAAGGTAAACCTTCCATATCTCATCCCACCGTGGAATGTCTAGGATAGAACTCCTGGTCAACTATCCCATTCCTGTCTGTCTACCCTGTCTTCCCCCCCACCTCATTCAATTTTTCTACTGTATATTTACACATGCTTGTGCTGTCAAGCACACTGAGCGTCAGGTCTCATGTCTGCCCTAAATCGAGGAAGGGATGCTGGCACCTAGAATCCCACGTGACTTTTCTGCTTGTCCCTGCAGCTGCCCTACCTAATTGATGGGACTCACAAGCTCACCCAGAGCAACGCCATCCTGCGCTACATTGCCCGCAAGCACAACCTGTGTGAGTAGACCTGGCTTTAGGGTGTGAGGATGGACAGTGGTCTTGTCCTTAAGCGTGGCTGTCATAGAGTGCTAAGGCTGAGTCTCTTTTGCTGGCTTCAGGTGGAGAGACAGAAGAGGAAAGGATTTGTGTGGACATCTTGGAGAACCAGCTTATGGACTCCCGCCTTCAGCTCATCATGCTCTGCTATGGCCCTGATTTTGTGAGTCCCCCATGGGTCTGGAGGTGATAGGGTTTGCAACAGGAGTTAACCACTTTTGTTCACATCTACCCTGGCTTTAGATGACATTTCAGCTCTGTAAATGTGTACTGATTCTCCAAGGTTTCCTATCCTACCATTAAACTCACCCTCATAACCCCAATTTGTGGTCCGCTAAACACGGTGAATCATTTCCTAACCATTTTGTGATGCAGATGCAATTCCCTAGCGTGGATATTTTATCCTGGATATGACTGTAGGCTTTAAAATCGCTTTCATCTCTCTGTCCTTTAATATCTGCCATTCACTATCTGTCCTAGATTTATACACTGTAAGGCTGCTTCTGGAATAGAAGTAGTACTTATAGTACTTAGTAGTACTAAGTATTACTTAGTACTCATACTGTACTAACTTTGAGGCAAAGAAGTACAGTATGAGGGAACTGGAAGCAGCCAACCTGTCTCCCCAGGGCTTGACCTTGACACCAGCATGATGAGAACATTTTCCTAATAAGCAGCTTAGGGTCATCTAGAAGATGGCTGTCCCTCTCTTGCCTCTTTTTCTCCTTTCCTTACTGTGTATCGAAACCAAGCCCTTTACAAGGCCTTGCAAAGCAGTGCCTCAGTTCACAAATGCTTCTGTTTGCAAACAGTGCAGTTTGCAAACAAAAGCATTTTGTAAAACTTTGGTTTTATTTGCATCAGGAGACAAACACGACCTCAGCCATATTCCACAAAATAATAAAACAAATTAATTTCATAAACCAAGATATCACTGTACTCGTTAGACAAATGCTATAGAACTACATCCTAGCCCTTTCCATTTCTTTTTTGTAAATTTTGAGGCAGAATCCTGCTCAGTAGCTCAGCCTGTCCTTCAACTGCAATCTTCCCTCACCTCCCACATAGCTCTGATGATAACCATATGCCACCAGGCCCCGCCTCCCCCGTTCAACATCAGGTGCTCCTCAGCCTTGTGTATAGAGTGCTGCAAATGTCCACTCTATTCTTGTGCCCTGTCATGAGGTAGGACTTTGTCTTGTCTCTTTGGATCGTTTTCTATTTGCTTCTTTGGCTCCACTGACATGAGTCTAAAGCCTGCCAGGTGCTCAGACACGCCTGGGTCGGACTCACAGAACCTGGTCCAGACAGCAGTGGTGACAGATTCAGGGACAGAGTGTATTCCTGTGTGATTTCCCATCACTTCTGACACATGGGTCTCCTGCCAAGTGGGGTCTGATAAACAGTGATGTTCTCACTGGAGGCCATGACACTGCCGGAGGCCCAGCCTCAGGGAAGACGGCTGCTCACCCCTGGCCAGCAAGGGCTCTGCAGAGCACTGCACGTGCGGTCTCTCAGTGAAGGAGCCTGTGTCTGAGGGTGGTGACTCCTGATTTCTGCCTCAGGAGAAAAAGAAGCCAGAGTTCTTGGAGGGCCTCCCTGACAAGATGAAGCTCTTCTCGCAGTTCCTGGGGAAGCAGCCCTGGTTTGCAGGGAACAAGGTAAAAGGCAGAGAGCGGGGGCCGAGAAGGTGTCATTCCTCCCACGTTATGAGCTTGCAGCCCACTCATCACTGGCTCTCTGCAGATCACCTTTGTGGATTTCGTGGCCTATGATGTCCTTGACCAGTACCGGATGTTTGAGCCCAAGTGCCTGGAGGCGTTCCCTAACCTGAAAGACTTCATGTCCCACTTTGAGGTGACACTCAGGACCCTTCTTACTCTTGTGTGTCCTGTTCTCCTTGCCCCTTTCCCCTGATGCCTTTCTAGAGCTGCATCTGACCTGAAGAGTTACTAACATACAGGGCATTGAGCAATGTCTTTCTATGCCAGAGCCTATGCCCAGCATCTTACATCCGTCCTGTCAAAGTAATCATTGCAACAACCTGCGGTGCTGATAGAACTCCCAGCCCACTGCACAGACCAGGGACCTGAAACTAGAGAAAGAGTCATTCCTTCAAGGTTCCGGCATCAGTGGTGGCTCTGTGGGGGTCTTGTCAAGCCTGGGCTTCTAAGGGAACAGTGGCCGCCCCTGTCTTGTGCCCCCCAGAAAAGCTCGTGTGACCGTGCAGCCTGGGTTTCCAGCCCAGCCCCTGTGTAGGAGGGACAGAGTGTGTAGAGCGTGGGAGCAGCTTGCATTGGGAGGGCTGGGACAAAGCTGGGTCGGGGGAACCAAGACAGAGACTACTGATGCCTGAGCAGCCGGGCATACCACTCAGTCCCATCCCCAGTGAGGGCAGCGCTGAAACCCTGTGGCTGTGGTTGGTGCTGGACTGAGGATACACATGGCACACCCGTTGGGTGATTTTATCTTGAATTGTTCTAGGTTAGGTGTCCTCTTTCTTTCCTTTTATCCTTTTCTTCTTCTTCAGTATCTCAAGTGTACTTTCTATAAAATAGGGTCATATTCCCATTTTCACTGATGGTCCTGACACCTTCATCTACTTAAGCTTGATGTGAAGCAGGTGGACATGAGGATAAGACCCTCTCCCCAGCCCATCCACAGCCTGATTTTAGGAGGGAAGGGCAGGCATTCCAGACGTGAGGTGCACATGGTCCATTGTGCGTGCCGTGGAGCTC